TATACTGACTGATGTTATAAAAATGAAGTATTCGTTGAAGTATAAAACTGAAGTAACCACCAGCATTTTTTTTCCTTTATTGAACCCTTTTGCTGTTCTTAAGGTAACTTAATTGCCTTTTATATGACACTAGCTACTTGAACGCGGTTTCACCCGCTCTGCTCAGCTCCACGCAGCTATTGGTCGTGGCGACATGTTTTATAGCCTTCCTCGATAAATGGACTATCCAACACAAAAAGAATTATTCAATTCGAATCAGTAGTTTCGATGATTAGCGCGATCAAACAAACAAACAAAAAACAAACTCTTCAGCTTTATAATATTAATAGATATGTTACCAATTAATAAATTACTTTTGCCAGAAGATAATTAACAGAAAATGAAAAATGCTAGTTCCGTTTCTTTGCTCCTAAGTGTAGTATGTTTATCAATCGGACCGCGGAAGAATTTGATTCTTGTACACTCACGATCACGACATAACAGAAGTCCATCTACTGGGTTTGCTTCACAGATCGGTTTGGAATGAGCGTATAGCATCAATGACGAACCGATGACTGTCGGACAATTGGGATTTGGAGTAATAAGTCGGCAGTGCCATTAATCAAGAAACATCCCAAATGTAAACATACCAAAAACTTATGATGAAATTAAAACCGCAAATCAAAGAAAACGACACATTAGCGTTAAAAATAAACGTCTTTACAAACATTCTTATCAAAAAAATGCGCAGAAACTTAAAAATAGGCCGTATAAACATTGCTACAGCTAAAATAGAATGTAGAACTTCACAATAGCGTCATAATTTGTGCAGATCTCTAATTAGATAACATTTTGCGTCATATTGTAGAGGAGTTGCCGAGTTACATTTAAACGACACGAGCTTTGAACGTGTTTGACCTTAGATAAAGGACCAGGGCACGTTGTATAATAACTTAGTACCTTAGGGTCAACGTTCAGCCAATATTGTAAGGGAATTCATGATTAAAGTGTATTGTTGAAGTGGTTGCTTTTGATTTAAATAAATCATGGACAATTTGATACGTAATTTATTGTAGAAACTTAGAAAGCACATACGGGCGCCATGCAATAGGGCGATGCAAAGACAAGGAAGCAGAGAGAAAAAATTACAGATATCCTACGCGGTTAACTTCCCAAAGAAAAACTGGGTGGCACTACTTTTATCATTTGGATGTTTAAGATTATAAAATTTACCTTATTCCAACAGTTATGATTATAATCATTGTGCGTACCAACCATATGCATGAATTTGATGGAAGTTAAAAACTATGGCCCAATTAAATAATGGTACAAGAATATGTTGCCTATATTCTTATGATCGATATATATCGATGTATATATATATATCGATGATATCTAGAAACTTTGGTACCTAAATTATTACACATAAATATTAGATGATTAATTACCTTTACTGTCGCCTAACGAGTCGAAAAGACCTCTCCTTACTACGTATTCCTAGACAACAGTAACTTCGTCAGGATAACTAACTTGATATAATTCAAATTGCCATTGCGTTGATATTTCCGTAGGATCTGACGATTCGCGAAAAGTACCAAGTTGGTCCGTAATCTAAATGATCATCCGTCATGTGAATGAGATGACTGATGACTTGATTAAAATTAAAACTACGTACATTTGCCGGTTACAATAAGTACTTCCTGTCCTTATTTTTAAGTAATTAAATTTGTTTCTTGGTATTGGAGGGTTCAGCCATTCAACATACTTCATACATTCATAACCTAACGCCTGTCTCCCATGAGTGTAGACAGCGACTATGGACCGCCAAGTAGTATTTAGAAAATGTTGTTGTTTGGTTGATGGGACATAGATTAATGAAAGGAGTTTTAGAAAAATATTTTTGTAGACAACACATAATACCTATATTATAATCAGCAAAATCAGCTGGTATCATACTTACATATATAACATCACGTCTGTCTCCCATGGGGGTAGGCAGAGACTATTGAACCAGCTGATATCAGTGTAGGAAATAAGGTCACTACATGGTTTTTATCCATTCAAAATTAAGAATTAATTTTGAGTTAGGCGAAATAATTTTGTGAATTAAATTTAGACAGTAAATGGACTCATATTTAATTGATAAAGTGCAAAACAGTAATGATGATGACGAAAACAGTAAACAGTACTACAACTTCAAGAGTCAAAAAGCCATTCTAGCATTTCTATTAACCAGCATTGTTTACATATGCCAAGTTGAAGATTTTTGTACCATTGATACTGCATAAATGATTGAATTATGCAAATATTTTATAATAGAACAAGTTCTGTGCGAGATGTCTAGACAAAAAACTGGAAATAACACAATATTACACTATATTATAGATTAAGATATTTCTTGGAAATTGCTGATACACTTTATAGCAAATTGTGGGCAATGTGCGATTTATAAATATACTACTTAAAACAAAATAAAAGCCCCTGTTTTTAGGCTTTTATTAAAAAGCATTAACACGTAAAAATCAGTTTAACAACAGATGTGGTCTAGGTATTAATGCATTGTTTATACTTAACTAACGACCCGCCCCGGCTTCGCACGGGTGCAATATGTATATACATACAAACCTTCCTTAAGAATCACTCTATCTATTAAAAAAAACCGCATCAAAATCCGTTGCGTAGTTTTAAAGATCTAAGCATACATACGGACATACAGCGAAAGCGACTTTGTTTTATACTATGTATTGATATTGATGAACCTTAATCCATATATCCCCAAGTGGTCACCGGTAACCGCTCTCCACTAACTACTTTATAGACCTTATTTCCAATGTTGAGAGACTACTTTTGTATGAACAAATTTAGGGGATCATTTTCAACAATTTTCAATAGGTTAGACATCATAAATGCTTTATTATAGTAACCATCAGCTATTGAGTTACTGCAAAACAAATATATGAAATATATGATAGTGACTCTTAATTTGTTTTGATTAGTATGTTTACAATCACTGTTAAGTGTCAGACTTTTCATGTAAAATTTTAATATGTACCAATCACTTTTGTGCCTAATAAATAAAAAAGGAAGTTTCTAGGTACTTGTATTAAAAATTAGAGTGATAATAAAGAATTAAATTATTGGAAAAGTAGAAATATCTGAACCAAAGTAAAGAAATAGTAATATTTTATAAGATGCACCAAATTAAGAAACCAATTGAAGTTATTTTTTAATTTTGTTTTTGAAGCTGAAAAAATTATCCAATGCTCCTCCCGCCTCGGTGAGGAGTCTCTTAAGTGTCCGACTTTTACTGACTAAAAATCATCCATTCCTATTCCTGCACTTTGAGCAGGAGACCCTCCGTAACTCTGTATATTCATTTGAAGTTGGAATCAGCTTTTCCATCTTGGTCAATGAAAAAAATGTAGACTATATCATTCTTCAGCCTCCTAACGAACTACTGATACAAAAAGTATACTATCTATAAAAACTCTCAATTGTAACTCAATTTCATAACATTATTTACATTTTTTATTTTCATACTAATTTTGGTGTGTTTATTAGCTGTAATCTATTGTAATCTTATGATTCTGGACAGAAAGACTCATGGATGCTTCAAATATTAAATAATACAATTGTCAATGCAAGTCACTCAGAGTGATCAGAAATTGAGATTTATGTGAAAATTAATTGATTCGAAGGTAATGCTATCATGATTAGTTTCACATTTCAAGTAGGTAGATCAATAAACAAACTATTGATTTATAATGGCATGACAAATAATACTACTATTTGACATGAATAAAGCCATTGTTACTGATTGAACTTTACCATTTTGTAATAATATCTTGTTTGATAAAAGACCAGAGTAATAACTTCAGTGTATATCGAGAATTTATGAGTCGTTCTGACGTTAATTGACTATAAACAATGGTTGCCGACACCATGCATTTTGTCACGGTCACGAAATGTTATTTTCCTTGGCAAATAACCTCAAAATCGATTTATCATTATTTCTTATGAATTTCTAACGCAACAATGTAGCGGTAACTGAAATGTTTTGGCTAAACTCAGCATCAGTTGCATCCCAAAGATTATCACAAATATAGAACGTCTAAAAAAAGACTGCAAACTGCCGGGTTGTTTGACTCCAAAAATTAACTTACCTAGTCGATTTTGCTGTTAATAAATACTCCTCGCCACTTCTTTTACACAAAATGATCAAACATGAACACTCAAATAGATATTTCAGTGCGAAAAAAATAAAAATCCTTTCAAATTTCGCACCGACAACAAATATTTCAGATAAACTGAAACATTCTGTATTGCAAGTGTAACAAAAAAGAATACCACTTTCATAAAAAATAGAGTTCCATTAGGAAGAAAATAACAGAATAATTAAATTCAGCTTCCACTCTAAATCTAAAAGTTCATTCATAAAACAAATGTATCTATATGATATCATATTAATTGAACATTTTTATTTTTTATTTAAAACAATAGTCTTTTGATATCCTCGCAAAATATAATAAAATTTAATCTTAGCAACACCACAATAATGTCAAAACAAATGACAATTGTGATACACCGTTCCATTTTACGACAAAATACAAAGTTTGTTGTTTTGACCTTTAAGAAAAACTCAAAAAGACGTAAATTAGAAACGATATTATTTTCAATATTAATTCAGTAAGAAATGAGCGTAAAAGAAACATACATAATTAACAATCATTGCAAAAATCAATACAAACAACTGATTACCGAATTTGCTTTTTTGTAAAGTTAGGAACAAATTTTTATTTTATGTTTCACGCATTAATAAAATAGACATCAACTAAGATCAAACTGTCAAACAAATGTTTTTAATTATTTTCTTTTATTTATTTATAGAATACAACTTATTAGGAATTAATTTGTTCTCATAATGATTACTGATCTATTGTGCAGCGGCCTGTAGATTACATAACAATAGAGCATAATTTTGAACATAATAGTAGGCAACGAAACGTAATAGATGAAGTCATCATCTGTCAAAATTTTGCCTATTTTTCTGTCAAAACAAATTCATTGATAATTTCCAAATTAAAAAATAAGTACCTAAGTAATATTGTTATTACTGTGCAAAATGGGTCTTTTTGGAAAATCTCCTGAAAGAAATCCTAAAGAAATGGTACGTGGGTTAATGTGTTACGTGTCGAATTATAAAACATAACAGGAACTTCTTTTTCTAAAAATATAACTATTATTTTAGGTAAACGAGTGGTCACATAAGATACGCAAAGAAGGATATAACTTGGATAGACAAATTAGAAGTAAGTACAGCATCTATTATGAAATAAAAACCTCTTATAGCAAGTTATGAAGTTTTAAAACATTACCTGAACTTCACGATAGGAATGCCAATTACTTGTTTATTGAAATACTTGGAGTCAAGGTCATAGGTTAGTCATGGCCTACTATAGCGCAAGAATCTTGAAACTGACAGAACAGCTGTTTATTAAGAATATATTTGGTTAAAACCAATTTAAATTAATCATGTGTTGTTTTTGAAATATGTAATTTTTTTGCTAGTTTTGTTTATTTGACTGTACTATGAGGGTGTGGCTGGGTGACTGGCGTGACAACTTGTCGCGAGTTCGATTCCTGCACGTAACAATTCTTTGTATAATATTATGTGCATGTGAGAGAGATTGAAAACGTAGTTATTTTTATTAACATATAATTAACATTTTGAATGGGTTAAAGCTAAATGTCATTATTTTATTATATTATATACTTATAAAGCTGAAGAGTTTGTTTAACCTTTTGAACGCCAGAGCAAAAACACATGAACTTGCCCTCAACGCCAGGCCACAAATTCACCGCAAATACCTACGAAAAAAATAGGGATTCCAAAACTTCATAGATAATCAATTTTATTTTCATTTTCGTCTTTAATTTCGAAATATAATGTCCTTATAACATTGAAATTTAATTCAACATTACATTTCTTCCTATTAAAGTAATAGTTATACACTATTTACAGACTTGTATAATACCGTAATAACAGATATGAGACTACAATATATTTAAATATAATAACTGTAGGTACAACACT